TCACTCCTGTAGTGCTAACGTTCTCCATTTTTCCATCAATCTTTATGCCTGTTTTCCTTGTATCTTGCCATAAGGATACTGCAGATTTAAAGAAAAGCACAGCTTTTCTATGGTGATCAAGTTTCATTCATAGCTGATGCTTCATAAAAAGCACAGTTAGTATATGATAGCAGCTGATTTGCGAGCTCAAAAGAATCTTATTGGTACTTAAGAAAAAAACTTGGATGTGAAGGGCATGTCTTCAGGCAAGTAAGTATTGAAAAGCCGACAGAAGTGCTGACTTTTTTAATTATGTAAAGAATCTTGTTACAATTCCGATTACTAGAGCTGGGAAAGGGAATAAACAGTCGTTTGGGAGTGGAATTGCCTGCTGTAAGACATATTCACAGAAGAGCCACAGGAGAGGTGTTACAGTGGGATTTTTACTCTTACTTAGATTCTTGCCTGTATTTAGGTGTGAACATGGTCCAGTGGTGCAAGAAGCTTTGAGTTGTAAAATTTCAATCTGTGCAGGCATACTGTGTTTTGCCTTCAAAAGGAGCTCCAGATCGTTCTGTGGAATTTATCCTGGACAACAGAGCTGTTGTAAACACATGCAGTTAAGCTGCAGGACTTGGTTTTCTTTTTTCGCAGAGGTCTTCTAGAGTTGCCTGGTGAAAACCATGCTTCAGAGGGCATTATCTAATTGTTCACAGCACTGAACCATTCTAGTCTCTTTGTCTAAAAGGGAAAAGTGCAAAGTATATGATATTTCAGGACCTAAACTAGTAAATCACTTGATAGCTTGAATTGAGAACAGGGCTTTGTGGGAATCCTGTGAAAAGGAAATGGCAGGAAGAGAGTGATCTATAAAACAACAGGAATAGGAAATCACCAATGTCAAAAGCTTTTTAAAGGCTTGGTCTTTGAGGGGAAAGTCGATTCACTGCTGTTCATATGGAAGACTGAGGAGTGGCTGAGTTTGTGCAGTGGTAGGTACAGGGAAGGAATGTGTGATGAGGAGATGCAGGATTAGAGATGTGAGAACAATCTCTGTGCATAGGTCCATTGAATACAGTATTCCTATCTCAAGAAGGAAGGGGAAGGAAAGAAAAATAATCATAGCTATGGGAGGAGTCACAAGTGCCTCAGCTCCTGAAGACTGCAGGAGGAACACAGACAAAGCACCAGGGCTTTGTGGGAAGCACCAGCTGAGATTTCAGTGTTGAAAACCAATTGGTGGCAGCGCAGTTGAGGCTCATTGACAGAAATGGTTTGCCAACAGTGACACAGCTCCTTGCTTTCTACAAAGTGTTGTAAAAAAAGATTGTACCTCTCAATCTGTGCGCCTTTGTTGTTACAGCTAGAACAGCCTCTAGCTCCTCTTCCTTCTTGAGAAAAGGCTCTACCTGCTGCGTTGATTGATTAAAGTTCACTGGAGACAGAGAAAGATTTAACACTGACTTGAGGGCTTCTCTTCGTAAGTTTAACTAGATAGATAGACTTAAAACATGATTCAGAGTTTAGATTGCAGAGGGAGAACAGAAAACAGGGAAACCCCTGCACTGTTGGAATGGCAGCAGTGTGGTGACAGTGTAAAAAAATTGCTTTAATTAAAATTCTCTGAAGACAGGAAATCCTTCTTCCTGAGCATAACCCAAACAAACCGTGTTTTGCTGCTACGCACAGCACTCAGCGCAGTGGCAGTTGCTACTTCAGAGGTCTCTACTGGACTGTGCAGCATGGTAGTGCTTATTTCTGAAGTCCCCAGGGACTGAACCAGTGTCTGCAGTTACTGTGAATTCAGTACATATGGGTCATATTTCTGCTTCACTCCTGCTAAAAAATATCTCAGTCATTGTGCATTTAAAAACATTCTGGAACCATGCTACAGGATGCAGAGGCACCAGTCTCCAAGGGAATCCTGTTCGATGCTCTTCAGATGAATTAGAGAATGGTTTGGGTTGAAAGGGACCTTAAAGATCATCTGGTTCCAACCAGTCCTGCCAGAGGCAGGGTCATCTGCCACTAGACCAGGTTGCCCAAAGCCCCGTCTAGCCTGGCCTTGAGCACTGCCAGGGATGGAATACCCACAGCTTCTCTGGCAAACTAGTTCCAGTGCCTCATCACCCTCACAGATAGTAGGAAGAAGTTCTTTACTAATCCAAATCTCCCCTCTTTCAGTTCAGAGCCATTCCCTCTTGTCCTATCCCTCCATGTCCTTGTAAAATGTCTCTCTCTAGCTTTCTTGTCGGCTCTTTTAGGTACTGAAAGCTCCTTTACGGTGTCCCTGGAACTTTGTCTTCTCCAGGCTGAACAACCCCAACTCTCTCAGCCTGTCTTCACAGCAGAGGTGCTCCAGCTCTCTGATCATCTTCATGGCCTCCTTTTGACTTGGTCCAACAGGTCCATGTCCTTCTTATGTTGGGGGCCCCAGAGCTGGACACAGAACTGCAGGTGAGGGTTCATGAAAGCAGAATAGAAGGGGAGAATCACCTCCCGAGACCTGCTGGGCAAGCTCCTTTTGATGCAGCCAACCAGCATATGGTTGGCTTTCTCTGCTGCAGGTGCACACTGCTGGGTCATGTTGACCTTCTTGTTGTTCAGCACCCCGAAGTTGTCTCATCAGAGCTACTCTCAAGCCAATCTCCACCTAGCCTGTATTTGTGCTTGGGGCTGCCCTGACCCAGGTGTAAAGACCTTGTACTTGGCTTTATTGAACTTCATGAGGCCCACCTCTTGAGCCTGTGAAGGTTCCTCTGGACTGCATCCCTTCCCTCCTGCAGGTCGACTGCACCATGGTTTGATGTCATTGGCAAGCTTGCTGAGGGTGCACTGTCCATGTCACTGACAAAGATGTTAAACAGTGGCAGTCCCAATATCAACCCCTGAGGAACACCACTCGTCACTGGTCTCCTCTTGGACATTGAGCTGTTGGCCTCAACTCTTTGATAGTGACTATACAGCCAATTCCTTATCCACCGAGTGGTCCATCTGTCAAATCCATGTCTCCAGTTCAGAGGTAAGGATGATGTGTGGGACAGTGTCAAACACTTTGCGCAAGTCCCGGTAGGTGATGATAGTTGCTCTTCCCTTAGCTACCAGTGCTGTAACCCCATCGCAGAAGGCCACAGAATTCATCAGGCTCTATTTGCCCAAAGTGAAGCTATGTTGGCTGTCACCAACCACCTCCTTACATCCATGTACCTTACCATAGTTTCCAGCAGGATCTGCTCTATGATCTTGCCAGGCACAGAGGTGAGACTGACTGGCCTGTAGTTCCTCGGGTCTTTTTTTTTTTCCCTTTTTTAAAAATGTGGGTTATATTTCCCCTTTTCCCCTCACTGGGAGCTTCACTGGACTGCCACAGCTTCTCAGACATGATGGATAATGGCTTAGGCACTTCATCCACCAGAAAAAAAACTTTTGAGAGTTGTGTATTCAAAAGAAATAGTGATTTTATTATCCTTAGAAATATTTACCTCTTTTTGTAACCGCAAGGCAATATCAGCAAACCTCCATTATCTATTTATGTGTTATGTATATGTTTTTCCAACACACAATTTGTACTGTATCACTTGCAGGAAAATGTTAGAGCAATGAGATGTGGAACTGCCACAGCCATTTTCCAGTGTCAGGGGAAAATGGAACTGTGTATTTTAAAACCTTTATGAACCATTTTAAAATAACAGCTATGCACACCAGAATGTACTTTTTTCAGGTAAAAACAATTTGATAGAATATAAATTTAATTAGATTATGAATTAAAATTAGATTAATTTAAATTACATTTTAAAAGTGTAGACTTTCAACTCAGAAAAGCCATTTCTGTACAAAGGGAAATTTTTATTATTGAGGGTATTAAACTTCAAAGACAGCAAGAACTGAGATTACCTGGAAAAGTATTTCTAGTTTTTCTTTAAAAGAATAAAAGGGGGTGAGGGTGTGAAGTTTTGCTGATAGTCATTCTCCTTTTACTCTTGGTTACTTGTCTGTGTGAGGCAAAGGAACAAGAAAAGGAAAAAAAAACGCTCAAAAGACAAATTAACAGCATAGAAAACTGTAATTAGACACCTTAAACAACTCGCATGTGTTCAGCAACAGGAACAAAAGCCATTTTGAAACTAACTGCATTTCAGTTACAGCTATTCCAGCAGTTTATTCCAAAAGATGGGAATTCTGGTTATAAGAATGCATCATTTGAGTCTAATAGTTTTGGTTCCAACCGGAATCAAATAAAAGGAAAATCTGAAGCAGAGTGGCTGTGCTTCTCCTGCAGTGCAGAGCCATTAGCCGTGTCACAGCTGAGGGCTCTGGCTCAAATCACCAGCATGGCTTTAGAAATGTAAACAGGTTTTGCAACAGTTTTCAAGCATGAATTGTGTTGTAAAGCAAAACCGTGTTCATATCAAGCTAAGTAACCTTTACTCTGTGTCACAGGAATCATGTATCGCAAATCCTGCGCCTCTTCAGCAGCGTGTCTGATAGCCTCTGCTGGATACCAGTCCTTTTGTTCTCCGGGGAAGGTGAACTCTGTTTGTATCAGCTGCTGTAACACTCCACTCTGCAATGGACCCCGGCCGAAGAAGAGGGGGAATTCTGGCATGGTGCCGAGGGCACACGTAATAACCACTGTTCTGTTCCTTACATTGGCTCTGTGGGTTTTGTATTGCTAAACTTCAAGCAAGTATTTTTTTGCCTTGACAAAGTTTGTTCTGTCTCCTTTCTTCAAAGACACTGCAGTTATTTTCTGTTTGTTTCCAAATCCCTGTCAACAAAGAGGGAAATTCAGTGGTTGTGGGGAGAAAGGGGCTGGTATTTTCGGTAGCTAATGAATTCAGTTAGCAGACTGAATTTCCAGGGTGCACTTAAAAATCCCATCAGCGGGATACAAAACTCTGCTTTTGTTGCATAACTGGAAACAAATCCACCTATGTTATTCCTTTTAAGATGTAGTTAATTCCTTGGTCATTTTGATTTCCTTGTTTTTAAGTTCATTGCTAATCATTAACTTTGCCTTATGAAGTCATACTTGATGTTCACAAAGGCCGTTTGGTGCGTCTGGGCTGGGCTCTGAGCTAGTCTCTAGGGGCACTACTTCCAAGCTGGACTGCTGTGGTTCGGGTCCTGGTTCCTGTAGGATGCAGTCAGGCTTGGTCTCATTCTGAAAAGTACTTAAGAAAACTTTGTTACTGCTCCTCCTAGAAGAACTGCGCCTAGACGACATGAAAAGCAGTGGGCGCAGAGACCGGCTGCTCCTTGCTCTGGAGCTCTGGTTTGCTCTGAGAAACTTCTCCTTGTTGGCATGCTGTATGGTCAGGTGGCAGCGAAGGACCTGCAGGAACACGCTGCGGAACTGCTGAGAAGAGATGTTGTACAGGAGGGGGTTCACCACCGAGCTGAGATAAAAGAAGATGTCAGCAATGGGAAGAAGAGTGATGTATGCTCTGAAGTAGGGGACGGTCCAGTCCTGTTTTGGTTTAGCAGCAGCCATGATCCTTCTAACCTGGTTTGGCATCCAGCATACAGCCAGAGTTGCAATAATCAGTCCTGCGAACAGAAAGAGGAAGAGGTTTGCATATATGGAAAGAAAAAACCATAAAACACTAAATATCAGTTCTGCGCTTGCTCATTAGGAAATGGTACCAATTTCTCAATGTTTCTCTTGACAGCTTTTTCTACCAGTAGCTTTTTTTGGTTTGTTGTTTTTAATAACTGTTACAAGGTCACTGCAGCACATGCTCTGACAGAAGAGCGCATACTGCTTGGCTGGTATTTCTTTGTACCTGTGGCCATTTATTAGTGTTCTTTCACTGATACCTGTATCTTCAAAAAGAATGCATTTTTTTTTTAGTTTGTGTTCTTACATTTCTTTTGTCTTTCCCTTTACTTTGAAAAACAAGCAAAATAAATAGAAGCTATAGCCATATTAGATCAGGCAATACCCAGAAGAGATCAGATTCTTGTTTGTACTTTGGAAAAAAAAAAAAAAGAAAAGAAGATGTATGCATAATAATATATTTCCTGTTATTTTTGGTAAATTTCCTCTTACAGAAGATATTTTTAAGCAAAATATGTATGGATCTTTTTATGGTAATTCAGATATGTTGGGCTTTCTTAAAATCAAATTCCAGTGGAATTAAAATATGAATGTAAATGAGAAAAACCCAAGCCTAGTCATGAAAGTGTAAGCAGTTTCAGATTATAAATTATGCTTTAAAATGTGGTGTCTGACCATTCTGTATTTATATGTAAGTATAAATACATGTTGCTGCATCACTAATGGCATTAAAAAGGGGGTGACTAGATGTCTGAAAACTCTGCCTCTGTGGACTGGCTTTCACTAGGGCTCAGTGGTGGTGCTGTCTTCAGAAGAGCAGCCCTGAAGTAAGGTGTGGGTGACCTTGAGCAGGCTCTGTTCCCAGGCAGGAGACGAGGCAGGGGGAGGCACTCCAATTTGCGCTGGTATTCGCTGCTTCTGGTGCATGTAAGCACTGGAAATCCTGGCATCTTGCATAAAACAACAGGTAACAAAACAATTCCTCTCAGTGCTCCCCCACCAAGCATTACTCCTGAAACACCTTACACCACCAGATTACTGTTTCCACTTTGTTTTTGTCGTTGCAGGAAACGTGCCTTATATGAACACTGGGAGGGAGGAAAAGTTGCAGGTTGGCTTCTCTGCGCAGAGGCACAAAGTAGTAGAGAGTATCCTGATGGTGCGCCATTGCCATTTCCAGTAGGCTTTGGTGGTTTGTTAATCTCCAACATCTAACTTCTTCTCCCAACAGAAGCACAGAAACATTTAATTCCTACCTAGCTAGACTAAGTCAGATTGCCTCCATCAAAGAGCTTGCTGTAGAATGCACCATTGAACAGATCACTGTAGGAATACAATTTTGAAATAGTGCATGCTGATCTTCCAAGCCAGGAACATTATACTTCACAAGCGGGAAGACATGAACATAATGGGGAAGGGAGGCAGAAAAGAGAAGAAAGATTTTTCCTAACTTCAAAACTGCCAGGGCTTAAACAGGTATGTCCGGGTTCTCTCCTCCACCACCCCTGAGCAAAGACAAGGTATGAAATGTCTTCTTTTTAATTAATTTTGTTAATGAAAGGTATAATTAACAGATTTATGATCTCACTGAATAAGCTACCAAATAAAAGTTGTCTTTTTGATCATCTGCTTCTGTAATCACTTCATGTCACAATAATTTTGGTAGGATGGGAAGTAGCATATCTTAGACTTGCAGCACGAGGTAAGAGCCCTGGAAGGCTGTTCGCAGTAGGCAACTGGCAAATGTGTCTCCCTTTGCAATTTTCTGTTCTTTAACTACCGTAAGTCACCTTTGTCTCTATTCTCATTCCACTCCTATACAATCTCAGGCCCCTTTGCTTCCCTGCCCTACTCTTCCCTGCCTTCTTGCCTCACTTGTCAGTGCCTGTTGTGTCTCTGTCAAAAGCCGATCTGAATTTTATATTAGTCCTGCAGATTTCCTAGCCTTCAGTGCTTGTTTTTTAATCTGCTGTCAGCATAACCAATACACGGATAGCAGTCCTGGTACAGATCAACAGAAGATAAGGAGCCCCAAGCTGTGACTTGCGACGGGCCTTATTGAAAAGGCAGGAAAACGATGGTACTGGTTTGCTGTGGCTTTTTCTCCTGTGCAACTGAAAGACAAACTCTGTAAACCGAGGTCTGCAGATAATTTGGCAAATTTTACCAGATGATTTCTTTCAAGGAAAAAGAAAATAAGCTCTGCAGTGTAACTTTTGGGTTCTTAGTAAGGAACAGGATACTTCATCACACTGTTTGTTTCCTAAATTATGAATACTGCTGTGAAAAACTGTAAGCAAACAATGTGTGCATTCAGTTTTAAACCTTAAATGTAGTGCTTCAAGATGTCTGACTTTTTGCTTGTATCTGAATTCTTTGCCATTGACTTTTCTTTCTAGTTCAAACTGCCAAAATGCTTAAGATTTCCCCTTCTTCAGTCGCTTTTGTTCTGGGGAGCTGTGTATTTGTTGTGTGAACAGCAAGTGAAAAATGGCCTGCTTGTGCTCGTTTGCAGTGCAGTGAGGTGAGTCTTTTGGGGGGCGGGAGAAGGCAGCAGCAAAACTTTGTTGGTTTCCAGGGATGAGTAATTGTTCATTTTTATGCTTGAAAAAAATGCTTATGGATTCAAGGGAGATGCGCCGTGTAAATAAACACACCGACAAATTCACATTTTTTTCAACTGGTCACACTTGATGTGGAGGTATGAAGTAAAGTGAAGTGCAGCAACAGAACCCATCAGAAAAGCTTTCTGTTCAGACCTTAGCATATAAAATATTTTGACCGAATTACTGCTGCCTTCAATTTGAACTTGAACACAGGCCATGGAAGTTTGTGTTGTACTGTAAAGTGCAGAAGGTGTTTAAGCTACACTGTATCAGCTTGAACGTAAACCAAACTGCCCCTTACGCCAGGACTGATGCATTTTTCCCATGAGCTTGCTGCCTGCTAGGAGCTAAACTCTCTCATGTTTCATCTCATATCCACCCTTCCCTTCCACTAGTTCTTATTAAAGTGAAAAAAATCAGCAGCTCCATTTTTTTTTTCCGATTTTCCTGACCACTGCACTCGAGTGACACACTAGATGAGAGCAAAGATTTGTCTTCCATGAATACTGATGTTTATAAACAACATAATGCTGTGGTCCAGTGACCTCCATCACTGGTGCTTGAAATTTCCAACATACACTTGAATCTCTTGGTTTAATCATCAAAAGTGCATTAGCCCATATACCATAGCCTAGCTGGCTATGTGTAAGTGAATATATCTCAACCAGTAAGTAAGTGATTGAGCTTACAATTCATTCAACATTGATACCGGTATTTCAAGGTAAGAAAAAAATGACAGACATGAAAAGATTCTTGACTAAAACCACTTCAAAAAACTAAGCCATAAACCAGCCACAAAATAGCTTACCCAGAATAGGACTACAACAGTCAACTATAATCTGAAAAAAACCCTAAAACTCTTTAAAAACAAATCATACCAATTTAACAATGATTTGAATCTGGGGACTGTTACTGTAACTTCCCAGAAGTGTATCTTTCAGTATTAATTCTTACTATGTGTCAAAGGATCACTTATGTAGTAAAATAAACCTAGCATTTAAGCACCAATAATATAACTATGCATTTCTGGCACCGAATGGGAGTTTGGCAGTCATCTATCCCTTAGCAATACTTTTTTATTACTCAGAACATTCCTCTGGGCCACAGGGGACTGAATTAAATTCATTATGAACTTTACTGGGAGGGATTTTAAAGACGTGCAAAAGTCTGGCAGGGTGGAGAGGGCTGCCTTCTCTACCCTTCCAGATATTGCTTGATCTGCTCTTGAATAGATTTTTGTCATCCTTTTTACACCTGAGCACTTAAATCTGTCTCCTTTTATAGTCCAGCATCTCCCCTCTACCCTGGCCTCTGCCAGCCATTCCACAAAACTTGGGATTGTCTACAAAATTATCATCGTCTCTAGGAAATGCCAACATGCTGCGTTTGGCTGCCACAGTCCGTTAACTAAGGCTGTTGTAGCAACTCATGTACATGCTCATTCGTCTGTCATTCGTCTGTGCAGCTTAACCCTGGCACTATAAGGTCTGCTGTCTTCTGCTGCTCCTCTCGTCATTGTTACCCTAAGCAGCCTTAAACCTCAAATTTTGCTTTTCTGTGATTTAATTAATGGCAAAAAGGCAGGTTCTCGACATCTGCTTGTAAACTGACATTTAAATGGCAATTGTCAGTGGAATATAAGCATATGGTTACTGAGTTATGAGTCAAGCACAGGCAGTGATGCAGCTGGGTCAGAGGGAGACTTCCTAGCACACATTTCACATTTGCATACTTGGCCCAACTATTCTCAAAGGTATAATGTGACATTAATGCCCTATGCCTAAATCACAAATTCTTCCAACCATGTGTCAAAGATACTGGCTCCCAAAAGAGGAAAATACTGAGACCACCCCTCATTATTAAGTTTACTGTCTTAGAGCAATACTAATCACAAGGAAAGCACTTGTTCCTGATTTGATTCTGCTACAAACGTCTTTGAAATCACACGCAAATACACCTTAGAGCTAATCAAGTTCTTGATGCTCACAGTATCAGTCACTACTAATTCAGCACAAGTTAAAAACAAAGACTCCAGGACTAATTAAGGGTGTTACTTAGAGGAGGTGAGGTTTTGGCATGTATTTATGCTATGTTTATTATTTTAACCAGGACTCAAAAATCTTGCTTTTGATTAGAAATAGGGACCTTGAGCATTAAGCTATTGTCTTTCTAGCTTTTGAGAAAAACATCAGAAGTCACGCACCGCAGTCTTCAGTCACTGAGATGACCTTCCCAACTGCAGATCAATGAATACTGCTCCATGCCCCTGCTGCTGCAGTTGTCTGCAAGTGAGACGTCAGCCACCATATGCTTATTGTCTACTGACAATTGTCATTGAAATGTCAGATTACAAACAGCTGTTACTTTCATTGCTGCAAGCCTGA